TCCCTCCCATTCTACTTTTAAATACTCTTGGAACAACAAGTAGGCCTGCAGAGCGAGAGCGAAGTGCTCTAATAGGGTGATATGGTACTACAAGGTCATTCAGATAAGATGGGGCCTGATTATTTAAGACCTTGTATGTGAGGAGCAAGACTTTAAATTCAATTCTGGTTTTAACAGGAAGCCAATGAAGAGAAGCCAGTAGGGGAGAAATATGCTCTCTCTTTCTAGTCCCTGTCAGGACTCTCACTGCAGCATTTTGGATTAGCTGAAGGCTTTTCAGGGAGTTTTTTGGACATCCTGATAATAAAGAATTACAGTAGTCCAGCCTGGAAGTAATAAATGTGTGAACTCATTTTTGAGCATCATTCTGAGACAGGATATTTGTAACTTTAGAGATATTGTACAAATGGAAGAAAGCAGTGCTGCATATTTGTTTGGTCAAGAATAAATGCAACATTCTTCAGTGTTATTGGGGGCCAAGAGAAGGCCGAGTACGATAACCTCAGTTTTATCTGAATTTAGAAGCAGGAGATTAGACGTCAGCCAGGTCTTTACGTCTTTGAGACATTCCTGCAGTTTATCTATCCATGAAAAATAAGTTAAAGCTGGCTATCTATGCCTTCTAATAGTACTGCCCAAGGGAAGGATGTATGTTAATAAAAATTGGACCTCGCACTGAACCCTCTGGAACTCCATAATTAATCTCAGTTGTTGAGGAGGACTGCCAATTTACATGAACAAATTGAAATCTTATCAGCACGATCTAATCTCTGTAATAAAATATTATGGTCAACAGTATCGAACACTGCACTTAGGTCTAGCAGGACAAGCTCAGAGATGAGTCCACTGTCAAGATGATCATTTGTAACCTTCACTAACATTGTTTCTGTACTGAGATGAGTTTGAATAAACCATTTCTCTGAAGATGATCATTTATTGGTTAACTGCTCTTTAAAAAAGTGGGAGCTTTGTGTAGAAGTACTTTGTGTCTATACAAAGACAGCATTCATGACCTTGTGACTAGAGCCTCATGCTCATGACAGGATCTAAGCGTTAGTGATGTCTTCTTCAACTCGCTCTTCATTTCTTTAGTTGGTAGAAGCAAATAGTAGAAAGGAAATGGTTCCTACATGGAACTAACACAAAGGTTTGTGTATTTATTTGTTTATTTTCATGATTTCTGGAAAGAGACCAGACACTTTTTAAGATCTAGTTATTTCTATCTCCTTCTCCTGATTTCTTGTAGGAAGTCCCACACTGCAGACCCCCTTCATAAGTGTAATTTCTGCAATAAAACCTTCACTAACATGACCAAGTATCTCTACCACCGTCGAATCCACCTCAACCGTGACACATCTGGAGCATCCATCCCTGTCCCTGCGGTAGTAAAATCAGCACACCACCTTCCTATTGTCTCCACAAACTTCCAAGTTAAAACAACTTTTCAATCTGACGCGTGCCTGTTGTCTTCTCTAGGTCTCGGCTCCGAGACGAGCGTCTGCCTCTGCTCTTGCCATCCTACAAAGAGCAAGAATGAAGAAGTATTTCCCCAATGATGAGGCAAAAATAGACCTGCTGGCTCCTCTCACCGAGGAAGACACGGTAAAATTGGGAGATACTAGACAAAGCCCTCAGAGCAAAGCAGAAAGACGTGAAGATGAGAAGAAGGTGGGGGAAAACAGCATGGAGGTGTCTGAGCCATGTGAAGAAAAACTTGATGATGTGCAGCAGGTGAAAGATGGCTCCGCTACAGAGCCTGCTGCCGGGGGTGACGCGGGTGTGGCGGTGTCCTGTAGCCCCACGGACGAAGCAGACGTTGCCTCGGCTACACCATCGGAAAAGGGGTCCTTTTCCTGTCGTTCGTGCCCTAAAACATTCACCTCGCAACTGCAGCTCGTACAACACCGACGCAAATCCCACGTTCCCGAGCGCAGCTTTGTGTGCGGCATGTGTGGAAAGTCTTTTAAGAAGCAGATCCACGTGCGAAACCACATACGCACGCATACCGGCGAGAGGCCCTTCCAGTGCTCGGACTGCGGCAAAACCTTCTCATCTCTTGCCAACCTGACGAGGCACAACCTCATCCACTCGGGCGTGCGGCCGTACCGCTGCGACGTCTGCCACCGCTCCTTCTCGCAGTCGTCTAACCTCCGTCAGCACAGCCTGCTTCACTCGAGCGCAGCCACGCTGAGCTGCCCAGACTGTCCCGCCACTTTCCGCTGGCCCACTAAGTTGGCAGCACATCGCTTCACACAGCATCCGGGATCTCCAGCGCCTTTTCCCTGTTTTCACTGTGAGGCTGGCTTCCTGACCAATAGGCAGCGAGAAAGCCACTGCCTGCAGGAGCACCCCGGGCTGGTCCAGGCAGCTAAAGAGTCAGAGGAGGGCAAAGAGAATGGCAGCCAAGCAGATGCAGGGAAAGATCTGACCTCGGAGCCCTCCACCTCAACGTCCGAGTCCGGGGATTCATCCAGCCATGTGAGAGGGAGCCTGGATTGCAACGTTTGTGGGAAGAAGCTCAATTCTCCCGCCAATCTACGACTTCACAGGCTGAGCCACTTCACCTTGGGGCCTGGGCGGCCACGGTGCACCCCGGGGAAGAGGCCCAAAGCTCACCAGTGTCCCCTCTGTGGCAAACTGTTTGTGTCGTCCTCCGGAGTGGCGCTTCACCAGCGGGTCCACACAGGTGAACGTCCGTTCCCCTGCCAAGTGTGCGGAAAGCGCTTCCGTCAGAACACGCACCTGCGAGAACACCTGCGCACACATTCGGGTGAAAGGCCGTTCCGCTGCGAGATCTGCGGAAAGGGTTTCATCCAGAGCATGCACCTGGCAGAGCACCGTCGAACGCACACAGGCGAGCGGCCGCACGTGTGTCCCCTGTGTGGCAAAGCCTTCAAGACCTTCTCTAACCTGAGGAACCACAAAAAGACCCACGTGAGGCAGCAGAGGCTGGACGAGGAGGCCGCTGCTCAAGCCGCCCTGGAGGTCAGTTCTGCCGTGGCCGTGGTGGACGCTTCGGCCGTGGAAGTATCCAACGGGCAGCCTCAGGTCATCCAGATCCAGTCCTCTGATCTACAGCAGGTAAGAGATGATTTCCCCCCTTTTTAATCTGTTTTTATCTTAAATTTTAATCTGGTTTAGATGAGGCCTGTTTTTATGCTTTTTAACACAGGTAAAGGTTCACATGTTGAGGTCAGTCTATATTGATATTTCAAATTTCCCTCCTCACAGGCACCAACCATCATGTGTAATGAATTCGGGGAGACGATCGCCATCATTGAGACCAGCGAGGGAGCAGTGCTGCCCCTGGAGCAGGCCCTGGAGATTTATCACACAGCTTTGGAGAACGGACTCGCCATGGACACGGTCGCCGTGGACGGACTGCAGCTCCTCTGAATCACCAAAAAATAAGTTTACCTTTAAAAGCTTTCACGAGTGCTAATTGTGACTTAAAGACTAATCGACTACTGTGAGGAGGAGACTTGAGTACTGAAACCAGCCAATGAACGACTAGATAAGAGTGCTTAAACAAGAGATGAAATAGTTTTGGCAAACAGACCAAAGTACGCCTCCTCCCCTCTTTTAGTGACCTCTGAGATGGCTCGGCATTAAAATCTAATGAAACGATGTTCACTGAAATAAAGGATTTGCTGTTGGTGATGAATAAGGACTACTGGTTGTGCCACAGATCATATTTGTATTATTAATGGTATATTTCATCATTTGGATGTGATTTTGTTTTCCTCTGTTTAAATGTTTGGTCGGCTTGTTAATAAATCTTTTTTTTTTTTTAAGATCATAAGTGTTCATCACATTCCCCATTTTTCTAATCTGCGACTCCTCTTCTCCGTCCTCCTGCCTGTGACCCAGAACAAGGGAAATGAATTTACAAACCACGATGGGAGGTGGTCTCTTCAAACAGCCAGTCCATTATTTATTTTTAAGATGATCAAATGTGCAATTAAAAGTACCCCTAAAATATAAAGCACATCATAAGTACAGCGGTAGTTGGGTCATAACAAAAGTTTACGATGCCATTGTGGCACACATATTTTAGGGAAATCCCCTTCACCTCGCCCGCTCTTCTCACATCGTTGGTGGGAGACATTTAAGAGCAAAGAGCGTGGACAGCCAGGAGATCTCGTGGCTCTGATTTGGGTTTTTCACTGGCATGTTTTGGGTCTCTGAAGTTGTTCATAATAACCTGCAATGAAACAGGCTGAGGTGTCTTTGCATGAGTTGCGTTCAACAGCAATCTGACAAAAAAAAGTGGAATATTCTCAAATAAACAGGTTTAAAAACATTTACTTTATTACAACTCTGCTGGTTTTCCTGTGGCTCTGGCTGCAACATTTTTTCTCCCCATTCATTCATTCATTCATTCATCTTCTGATGGTTATCCAGGTCCTGTCACAGCGGGAGCAGTCTAATTAGGGATACCTACACCTCCCTCTCCCCAGCCACCTCCTCCAGCTCAATCTCGATGACAAATAAGGTCAAGGAAAGGTATGAAGGAGAAGCTTGGTGCTCAGAGAGTTTGACAGCACTTAAAAACTCGCCAGCATGTCCTGGATCTAGCCCAGGGCCTTCTCCCACTTGGAAAATGAATATCATCACATAGTTAGGGAGTTAGAAGTTCAAACCACCTCGCCTGAATCCTTACTCTGTGCAGGAAAACCTTAAAGATGACTGATTTGAACACTTCCATGATAAAAACAACAAATGAGGGAATATATGTTGCAAATCTGGCGCTCCATCCCTCCTGTGGAGTTTCAGAGACTTTGAAGCTCCATCCTAAGCAGCACTGTTGTCCTGCTAAAGGTATAAGGTCATCCAGCACCTCACCATGTTTGGTTCCCAGACAGTTTACACCCAGTCTTAAACCCTGCTGAAAAAAAGGTTTATGGTCTTAAAACTGTGCCTTTGGGTTTTTCCTTTAATCTGCCACTGATCTATCGTCCATAAAACCCCACTTTTCACAATGCCAGCAATAAAATCACTTTAATTGAACACCTATTTTTATTTGCATACTGAAAGATACAGATACAAACTTAATTTATATAAATTCCTCTCCTGCATACTGGAACAGCAAAACAAGGAGTAAAACACAAAAACATTAATAGCCATATTTATTATAGTTGCTTTTTTTCCCATTTCATGTGTTTTACCTTCAGTAATGGTGCCTTAAAAGTCAACTTATGTTCAATGACAGTTTTCCTTATCAATAATATAACGAGTCTACTGACTCTACAGTAATTATTTACAACACAACCAAGTCTTGCACAAAGACACAACCAGTATTATATCCACCCAGCGCTCTTTGATTTGTCACCCTCCCGTCACTTCCCCCGGGTTTCTCTCCGCCCGGCCTAAAAAAGGGAGGTCTAGAAAGAGCAATAAAGTGACAAAGGGAGGAAGGAGGGGAGGAAAGGGGTGGAGGAAGGAGATGTACGTTGAGGCTATAGAGTAAAACTTATCGAGGGACAGAGAGGCATTGCTGGAGGGGTGGGTGTGGGTTGTCTAAAAACCATACGGCTTATTACTGCTGAATGAATATAAAGGTCCACGTCAGGTCTGTCTCTGTTAAAACGAATAATAAAAGAATAAAAGAAAAAAGATTAACTGCACCGCAGGTCCTTGCTGAGGTGAGACGCCAGCCAAGGGAAGACTACAACGGAGGAACTGTACAGGTGTGGAGCAGCATCTCTCACCTGCCTCCAAAAGTATATAAAAACAAAAAAACAGAAAGAAAGGAAACATCTGCCCGCAATGATAAAAAGAACTAAGGACAGGGATTCACTGCAATGATATGAGTAGTAGTAGTAATAATAATAATAATAATAATAATAGTAACCATAGGAATAGTACAACAACAAAGTGAATATGACAATGTTAAATACAAATCAAATTACTTTAAAAAAAAAAACCCAAAACAAAACGGTAATAAAACTGCTTGGCAACAGAGGATCGAGGTCCTACGAGTAAGAGCCTGGATGTGCCCGATGACTCTGACATTCCTTCCTTCAATGGCTAGCGAATGAGAGGCACAGGAATGCTCGTCCCTACCCGCTGGCATGTGCTAGGGTCAGTCGCGAGGAGGGAGGAGGCCAGTCAGGTAACTGCAGGAATGATGGCACTGCCAGAAGTCCACTTAAATTTCAGTCAGTTTTTCAGTCACTCCCAGTAGGCCTCTCCTGAAGGTCTACATATGAGTGGACCCCCCCCCACAAGAACTTTTCCAGGTCCACTGCAACAACTTGTCAAATTCAAATCAATTCTGGCTGTTGAGGGCCCAGCCCCCGAATGTCAGCAGAAAAACAAAGACGAGCTCACAACAGTTAGTCACTAGGTACAGGTTTGTTCCTCGAGCAGGTACTGAACTGCTTTTACTCCTCTAAAACTATTAAAAACAAAACAAATATCAAACCCTACGACGTCTTCTCTTAAAACCGCCCGCTTTTCACTGTCTCAGAAAGGGTTGAGCGTGTTTCTCCCTCCAAAATGGGAAGACTTTCTTCTTCAAGGCAAATGAGTGCAGCTGTACACAATGGTCCTTCGTTTACTGGCATCAATGGGAGCTTTCTCCAAGGTGGGTTAATACAGAGTGCTAATTCAAGTGTGAGAATTCAAAGTTTTCCAGGGTGTATGTGTGGTGGTTTTTGTGCCACTGGTTTTTAAGATGTTCTTTTTAAATTTTTTGTTTATTTTTTGGTACAATGGTCACAGATTATTAAAAAAAATAGGTCCCGACATTGCATACAAATGTCTCTCACTCTCAGAATTCGAATGCCGATGATGGGAAGAAATCGTGATCTGGCAAGAGCAGAGTGGAGACTATTGATAAGGAAAAGTGCATAGGGGGAGGTGGCACACAGACACCGGTTGGGTCAATTGAACTCGCCGGCTCCCCTCATCTAGAAGAATCATGTGAATCACGAGGATCCTCCGGGCTCGCTTCTGTCCCGTGTTCCATGTCTTCATCCTGTGGGTCTCCACCCGCTCTCAAAGATCCTTCCCCTGACTGAGACCCAGAAGGTCCAGCGATGGAGCCGGCTGAGTCTGAGCCGCCTAAAATAGAGATGTCGGAAGGAGCAGCTGTCTGCATGATCTTCTGCCGCACCTCCCTGATCTTCAGCTGCAGACACACCTTGGTGGGGAATATATCTGAGTATCTCGTCTGGAAGGCTGCAGTGGCCTGAGCTGTAGACAAAAGATGAAATCACCAGGAAGTTACAACCAGAATGAAGAACCAGAAATCTGTGACTGTGTGTGTGAGAGAGAGAAAGGTTGGTGGGTGCGTCTTACCTGATGGGAAGAAGCCCTGCTCCTGGAACAGCTGCATGACCAGTGCTCTCCTCTGGTCCAGCGTTCGGCGCAGGGAAGTGTACGGCACCTTATCAAACTCCAGTTCAGTCAAGATGTCTTCTCCATCTGGTGCTGGGAAAGAAGCTGGAGATTATAAACCATTAGATCCCTGAGAGGAATTTGAATTAATTTTAACATCACAGTGACATTAAATAATAACGAATTAAATGAATTTAAAAAGGAGGTCATCAATACACAAAAGATAAAAATCCCCACCTAAAAACAAGCTCTTCATTAATCCTTAACCCTCTCGTTACATTTCTACATCAAGACAGGCATCACAGCTCACTATGAACTATTAACATTAAAGGAGACCTACAGTATCATGCTTAACTGTCTTGCACATACCACTGTTACAATAGTGCATGTTCATATTAAAAACAGGCAAGTTTAAAATAATGAGGTTAGCGTGTAAAAAATTAGGGATAATATTCAGTGTGATCAGCAATAGCCTACCATTGATTTTTAGCTAATTTCCCCATTAATGCATTAAAATAGATTATTTTTTATGATCCTGATAAGAGTTGAATTGATTTTTAAATGTAATTTTTATTTTTAAGGCATTACAGAATGTGAACAACGATTCTTTAAAAGGGTACTTTAACCTACTTCCTGTTCACCCCAGTAACGATGGTGTTAGCTACCAGCTATCACCAAGGAGGACAACGGTATGATCGAACTGTAGAGATTACTGAACCTTGTGAACCTAAAGCTCAGGCTTCGTACTGCTATAAAGGCCATAGGTATAGACAGTCTTTCTAATTTCCTGTCTTTATGATGTTACTGAGAACAGATCTAATTTCTGGCTGTGATCACAGGAGCCCCACCTGCTCTGATCTGTGTGTGACAGGCAGCCAATGAGAAGAAAACTGGCTTAAGTGGGAGGAGCTAAATCAGCTTGCTTTAGTCTGCACTAATTCTGAACTGTGAATCATGCAAAGCTGGAAGTGACAGGTCCACTTTAAGTATATGAGAATATTGCATCTTGTCCTTGCTGTTCTGTGTGCTCTACCTGCTCTGTCAAAGGTGAAGATGTCCCCCTCGCATTTAGCGGCACTTTTAGGCGTGCTGGGCTCGGAGCTACAGCTGGAACGCCGCCGACTCTTCCTCTTTGGGGAGATTTGCTCGTCTGTAGCAGAGTCCAAATCTAGAAGCAGAAGGGAGACAAATGTAAATCAAAGCAAACACAATGAGAGATATAAATAAAATGAGCATTATTTTCAACAGTTTGGATGTTAAAGTAAAAATTATAATGCACTATTGAAGTCCAGGAATTATCAGCAGAAAGCCAAAGAAACTGCTCTACAGACACCAGCCTCAAAGTATCCCAAAGTGCTTTGTGTGACCTGTTGAGTTCTTCCTCTTGCGGCGATAGCTCCCCAGAATGGCACGAGGTGAGGTGGCCAGGCTCTGCAGAGTCGGTGACGGCAAAACCTCCTCGGGTCGAAACTCTGGCAGCTCGGCAAATCGTTCCTCAAAGTACACCTCTGACAACACCCTTCCAGTCCAACACACACACAAAGACAGAATACACAGTATATATACACCGTCCATCAATAATTCAAACACAGAGGTTTACAGAGGCATTAACTCACTTATCAACAGAGTCAAAGGTCTTCTTCAGAGGTGGTGGGCGGGCTTTGACCTTTTTGGGTGTGGGACATTCTTTGTCAGTCTGTGGAGGTGGCAGGGCGGGCTCTGTGGCTGATGGAGGAGGGAGAGGAGAGGAGGGGAGGGACTCCTTCCACCCAGCCTGCACAGGAAATTCAATACAGGCATTTTATTCAAGAACACAGAGGCACTACACGTGCACTACGGCTCAGTACTTTATTCTGGTAGTGTTTGAAGTAAAAGCCAGAATGTGATGCTCCCTCACCTCTTTGGCGGTTGTGCTTTCCCTGTTTCTTGAGTCAGAGGAGTCTCCAGCACTGGAGCCCTCCAGTGAGGATGCTGGTTCCTCTGTGGGATGTGCTGATGGAGACGCCGTCTGCCCCGGCGGTTCAAGATCAAAGGCAAAATGACTGTTGGCTGCAGCTTCCCTTTCCCTCTCCTTTTCTCGCTCTCTCTCTCGCTCCCGCTCTCGCTCCTTGTCTTTGTCACGCTCTCTCTCCTTCCCTCGGCCTCCTCCTTCATAGCTGCCTACGGGAATGGTGGCCACTGTTGCCTTCACTTTCTGTGGGACCCTGACTGGAAGCAGGGTGAGTTTGGGTGTGCCTGGTGTGCTTCCTGTAAAAAAGAAAAGAAATAAAAATACTTATGAATGAAAGTATTTGCTCACTCATTCAAGCAATGAACTTTAGTGGCAGGTTAAAAAACAGTGGGTGCAGTTGTACCGAGTGTTTGGATCTGAAGCGAAGGACTGCAGGGCCTTATGGAGCCAGCAGAGCCACTGGGAGGCGCCGCTGAGCTGCTGGAGGGCTGCGTCTGCCTCTCAAGCTGTCTTTCCGAATGTGTCAGCAGTTCTGCCTGCCTCTCCGTCTGCCTGTCAGTTTGTCGATCCGCAGGTCTGTCCGGAGGCAGGTGCCTGTCAGTCTGTCTGTCCGGATGTGGGTGCGTGATGATGGAGGGGGTTGCTGTGTGTTTGGGCAGGATGTGGGGAGAAGCGCTCGACGGGCTGGAGACAGAGTAGACCACGCTGGGGGGTACTGCTGCCATGGAGACCACCCCTGTTGCCATGGTGACGCTAGGTGAAGGAGGGTAGATGGCAGTTACTATCTGGCCCCCGGAGCCTGAAGCAGGGGCTGAGGTGGAGGGCTGTGGAGACTGAGCTGTGGCCAGGAGTGGTGGTTGACCTGGATGAAGGAGACAGGAAACCAAGAGGGCAAAAAGAACCTCATAATTTTCCACATCGCTATGATGATCTGCGACATTTTCAACACGATGAATACCTATTCCTTCTCTTCTCTCAATAATCTGACAAATTACAGTCTTTATTGACAACTATCAATCCAGATTTCCACCTGGACTCGATGAACCAAGATTTTACTGAGATATGTTTGTTTATGTATTTAAGCAAAATAGAAATGCAAATATTAAAGGCAAAAATACAGGCTAACACTGCTAACAGTACTTTTTGTTCATGTATTCCCTTCATGTCATATGAGAATAAATAAAATGTACAAACTGGATTAGCCCAGGTTTAACAGCACTAATGCTTACTTTACTCAAAACTACTCATAAGTTAATGTATATTTCTCTGCTGCTCTGCAAGGCTGAGGGTGTAACTGATGAGGTTATTTACACATAATTAACACTGACTCACTTCATTTATGGATGACTGAAATTACTTAATGCATATATGCTTTGGACTAAATTATAAAATTTGTGTTTTAATTCAAAGGCCATTTAACCTAAATGAAAATGATAACTTTATTTATAGACTCTTGTGGTTTGTTGCATGTATTTTTTTAACAAGTTAATAAAAAAATAGTTAAAAATCAGACTTAATTTTGGCAATAGCTCTATAAAGTAGTGATTTATAAATTGGCCTAAGAAAATAAAAAAAATCACCGGTTCAATGGAGTCGATGGAATCCACTCTCCCACAGTACCATGCACTAAATAAATGCTGGAAAAAGTTTTACCGCAGATGAAGGTTACTACTGAAAAGAGACACTGGGAAGCAAACAATATCCACGTGTTGTTTAACTAACAGAGTATGAAATGGAAGTATACAATATTCAATTATGCAGAGGCTTATTTTTACTATATATGCATATATAGGTGGTGAAGAGGTCAAGCTTAGTCTTTTCCCAGCACTTCAGTACATCTAATACCGAGAGATATCCGCTCTCTTACTCTGCAGTAATCATATGATATCTCGTAAGAGCTGAGAGATGTAGTTCTGCATTAAGATTTTTCATCTCTGTCAAATGTGCTTTCTGTGTGCACTTTGCATGTTTTCCCTTTGCCTCTGGCTTCCTCCCACAGTCTACACACATACATGTTAGGTTAAGTGGTGACTCTAACTGGCTATGATAAAAGTGTACAGAGTGAAAAAGCTTTATAATGTGAATTTTAGTCTAAAGTGCTCGAGTGGCTAATAAGACTAGAAAACTACTATATAAACGCAAGTATGTTGTGTACTACAAATCCAAAAATGAAAAGTCAGAGAGGAAAATGGGGAATGGAAGAGTGCATGGACATGGATTTCTACAGCTGAACTTTAGCCTATAAAATGGCTGTTTTTGATTAGGTAAGGTTTAGTTTAGTTAAAATGGGAACGGGCCTTTTTTTAAGCTTCATTTGTTATCAAAACAGGCTAAACTTAAGCATTTGTACAAACACAGGTAGGATTCAAAATGGCCTGTGTGTCTTCATAGCTACTGGACATTTCCACTTGACAACTGTTCCATTTTGTTGGTGCTAAAAGTTTAAAAAGTAAATCATTTCTCTTTTTTCCCCCCAATGGTGGTCTAAATGAATCAAAAACATTTATTATTGTAATGAAAAGGGATTGTTAACGGACTGAATAATCATAAACAGCCTACTGCAGAGAACTAACGAGTGGTAAAAGATTGACCCTTATTAGTAATGTTAATGTATACTTAAAATGCTGTGTCACCTTTGTTATATCTCTTATTTTTACACCACATTAAGTTATATTTACTTTCATTTTTGTCTTCGGGTCCAAACTGGCTCTTGATAGTAAAAGCTGTTGAACCCTGTGCTCTATAAATAGACTGAATTTACAACTTGGGCCAAGAGTTAAACAAGTTTGTGAACTTTGCTCACTGTGGCCTGTAACTGTATAAGCTCATGGAAATACTCAGAGACATAATAGTCTAGTAGATTTCATATATTAGGTAAGAGCATTGGAAAACCTGTTTTCTGGGTCAGAGTGAGGGGCTACCTTGCCTACATGTGGAGGCAGGAGCACCACATTTAAACGGAAAGAAACATCCCCCAATTCAGACTATTAACATGAGCTTTCATGAGGGCACAAAATCATCCATTTTCCCCCCACAGCTGACACCATATACCCCAACACCGTAACAGCTTCGGCCAGCTGATGTAAGATCTTAGCCGAGACCCTCTTTTCCTCTACATCTCTGCTGTGTTGCTCTTTGCATTTCCAGGTGCTTTGATCATGCTGCTTCCCGGCTGTGCAGCTCTCCCCTGCAGGTCCTCTAACCCTGAACTCAGGACGTTCTGTCAGCGCTCCTCTTCACCAAAAACTAGCTTTACAAATGGTTTTGTAGTAAATCATTGTTTACAAAAAGGTTTGTCCTCCAGCTTTTCTCAACGTCTTTGACACTGTTGTGTAACGAAGTGTGCCATCGACCAGTAACAACCTGTGTTTTGTAATTTTAGTGTAGTGTTACTGCTAAAAATTCAAATGAATGCTAAACCAAGATGAAAAAGCAACTTGGAAAGTCAGGGAAAGTTGAGTTGTTGATCTCATCCTCAAAAACATCATATCCACCATGTAAAGTGAACATTAGAAGAATTTGTTTAACAATGATAAAAATGAATTTACTTTGTCATGTGACAGTTTTTAACGATTTGTTGACCTCCTCGTACAGTGACCTAGATTCGTTATTTATTAGCCTAAAAGCCTATAATAAAATAATTCTAAACACGAAGAAGCTATCAATGTTTTACTTAAAGCAGATATTTTGAACTCAGGACCATCCAAAGAGCACATGAATGCAGGGTTAGTGTATGTTTCAGCTAGCAGAAAAGGTCATCAGTCATCAATGCACTTTGATGCTGGCATTGTTACATCAACATTATTCAGAGGGCCATATGTGACCCACACAGTATGATGTATTCAAAATACAGAATTGCTGTATTAAAAACAAAACAAAAAAACAACCCAGGATCTTTGGATTATTTTTTCCACGGCTCTGACCTGCAATCAGCGGCTGTACAAGCGTCTGTCCAGGCGGGGCAATGGCTGTGAACCCAAGAGTTGCAAGGGGCGCGGGTACGTATGCAGACCCAGGAACTGGCAGAGCTTGCTGCGAAGGGGAGGAGGCTGTTGCATTGGAGACTAGAGGCAAGGTGGATGGTACCCCTGGAGTGGACTGGACGTAGGTGATCCTGGACAGGAGGTACAGATACAGGTGAGGTGATTATTATAAAATGAAAAAAACAACAACAGAAGAAGAAGGCAAGAAGAAGAAGAAGCATGCGGAAGGAGGATGACATTTATTGTAATAAGAAATGTCAGGAAGGGTGCAGAGGCAGCGACAGCCCATGTTACAGTAGAATAATGAGGCAGACTGAGAGTGCAGGGAACAGAGACACGATTAGAAGGAAAGAGGAAGACAAAAAGAGAAGTGCTGCAGTGAGGGTCAGTTGGTGAGTGTACATCACAGCAAGTAGCACTAGATAACTAGTGCTGCGTGCGTGCGTGTGCGTGTGTGTGTGTGTGTGTGTGTGTGAGAGAGGAGATGAGAGGTAGTGTGGGGGTGGCAGGCAGAGGCAACTTGGGCCACCAGCAGCATGACTAACATATCCAGAATAGAGCTGTAGTGTTACAGCTGCACCCCTACTGGAATTTCGGTTTCTCGTGTTGTCTGCTCACTGTGTTACAGGAAATATGGAGAAGCTACACAGCTTCAGCTTATATGCTGCAAGGAAAAGATAGCATATTGTTTTTTAATAACTCAGCTGTTAACTTATAATATTGTCGGTGATTACTCAGAGTTTTATTTCCCCATTAACTGCAGTAAAAGCCTGTTTGGAATTAAAGTGCCTTTTTTTAAAACCTTGGAAGGCATAAACTGGCCCATTTAGAAAGTATTTCATTTGGTCTAAAACTGTTGAATAAACCTTTTATTATCTAGCCAGTGGGCAAAATCGTCATGTAAAAACACTCCTTCTGATTAACTTCTATTTTGGAAGTAACCAAATTGAGTGCACACGGAGACAGAGCATGTCTTTAAGCTCAAAATGATTTCAGGGAATTATCGCTGGTTAACTGATGTTTACTACAGATTGTGAATGAAGCTGCACGCGTGGCTTGCCTTCTCCATTTTAATGTTGCATCAAAGAAAGCACAGCAGCAAACCTGTAAAGGGAGGATCAACGTGTTCCCTCTAAGTATTTATGTGTATATATATATATATACAGCACATCTGTCATATGCAGAAAGCCTGCAAAATACGGCTGCAGCTATTGATTTCTTTGTTAATCGAGTATCTTATCAATTAAGTAAGTTATCGGATAAGAAATACTTTTGCCTTATTAATGAGATTGCTTATTGGTTTACACTTTAGAAATTACAAATTTTAATAGTTTAACTGAATTAAACACCCATCCACAGAACTAAACTGCTAAATTAAAATAAAAATTAAAAATGCAACAATAGACAGATAACAAATACAGAAATCTGGAGCTATCGCAGCTATCATAGGGGGGGATACAGGGTACACCCTGGACAGTTGGCAATAAAAAATGTTTTAAAAAAAGGTACATAAAATCAACAGACTTCAGACTGAGTTCTGACAGGATTGTACCTCCTGGATGAGGTACATTTGCTGTGTGTTCACGTGTATGTGTTTTTAAGTCTTGTATGTGGTCATTGCAATGAAGAAAAACGTTCTCTGAACTGAACTGTTTGCCATGTGCTGAGCTGCAGCATGTCCCAATTCAGAAAACGGATGTTCTGATGGTGTAGATGTTAATAATAATAATAATAACTTTATTTATAAAGCGCTTTAAAACAAAGTGCTGTACAGCTATTTGAAACTAAAAAGATGAATAAATGAAAAGGGATAAATAGCAGTACAAGTAAAAACACAATACAAGTTAAAAACAGTAAGAATTTAAAAAGTAAAAGACATAGAAATTAAGACATGTAAGATAGGGTGAACAAATGTCTTCAACTTAGTTTTAAAAACCTCCACAGAGCATGCCTGCCTACTATTTTGAGGGAGGTTGTTCCAATAATAATCAATGATTAATGATAATTAGTGATAATAATAATTCAGTGTTCAACCTAACAGCCCCAGGTCAGTGGCTGAGAGTTTCACTTGCCCATGCAAACAAAAAACACAAAAGCAACTTTTGAATTTTGTTTTAACTTTTGTTTTTATTTTTATATATATTTTACATTACTAGAGCCTTGAAATAAGCTGTAAAGGAAGGTACGGGGTTTAGTACACCCTATACCCCCCTTTAGATTCGCCCCTGCTTGCTGCAGGTATCACTGTGATAGAAAGTGGCCAGCTGCAGCCTTTATCAATCTGCCTAATTTAAATTAAATGTATTAAATTAGGTTAACAGCTCATCTGCATATTTTATGTGAACTTCTATAGCACTAACGTAGATAGCTTGTAGTCTAAGATAAATGGCGGTGGATGTGAGCAGCTAAAACGTTGCAGCTTGTTGAACAGGTGGGTTTAAAGCTTTGCATGCAGCTTTTTCCAAGTAAAGGTTTTTACAGTGATTAAAGTAACAAATGCTGTTTTCTTTTACGCCACCTGAGCGTCTTGACGACAGCTCCACATTAAACTACGACAGCATCATCTTCACTGCTGCTGTTGTACTATCAGTCTTTTTGTGGAAAAACTGGGGGCTGCATGACCTTAATATTATAATACTTTTTGTTCACACGTGCTCCTAAATACATTCCTACTGCGGGTCTATTTTTAGTCACAAATGTGGGTGAAACGCTCACGCTTACACGGTGACAACTGAGTGCAAACGAAGCATCGAAGCCAAGAATTTGCCTCAAAGATTTTTTTGTAATCGAGTTACTTGATGAATTGTTGCAGCCCAAATGCAAAGACACTTCCAATAAGTGAACAATTACAGAGATCAACTGCAGCTCAGGGATACTGGGGACTAGGGTGCACAAGGGCTGGCATATGTTTATAAATGAGTGCTTATTAATCAGAGCTGAGTCAAGCCTTACTGGCACATTTGTTTACAGCTGCTCTCAGACATGTGATGTGTTGCATTGCTGGGTTTATCTATCTGTTAGAAAATAGCTTTTAAGCTGTCAAACATCAGTCTCCATTATATAAATGCTTTATGTCAGTTCAAACACGTCTGTTATGAACAGCAGTGGAAAGTTTAGAAATACTGTGAGTAGTGACAAAGAGCCCCAATAACCACACTGGAAGTTTCACTTCATTTATTAACTAGAATTTAAAATGTGTTTAACACAGGCTGACAGCACTAAAGCTGTTCCAGTTAGCTATGAAAAATGGGAAACAGATAGGTCAACATTTGGCTGCCGGGTAATTCCTCATCTTGCTCACATGCTGTGTAATTTATAGGTAAAGCATTTACTGGATTTTCATTTTTAAAGTGAGTGGAATGAAAGAAAATCCAAAGAGGGGGGCAAATGTGGGTAAATCGACGGTGCTTTTCAGATGAGTTTTTTTTTTTTCTTCTTCTATTGTTGCCCTGCACTGCCAGATCAACAATGTTCTCAGTGAACAAAACGCTTTTCTTATGCCTCTTTTAATTTTGGCTCAAAGGGCTATTCAACAGATCATGCTTTCTTTCTCATAAGAAACAGTTGGAGGAATTAGCTGTGCATGTGTTATTATTACTCAGCTGTCATAATAAGGCAGCAGACATGATATAAGTTCTTTAAATACTAACATTTTCTGTTTTCAACACATTAACTTTTTTCTTTTTAATCACATTACTATATTTTGCACCTAAAGAAATTTTGTTACTGATTCTAATTAAGAACAAAGATAGGACACCACAAGGTTACAAACAAGCACACAATTAAAAATATTTTTTAATGATTTTTAAAGAGTGCCAACATGGTGATGGTGGTGTTTATTTCGTTCCTTGTTCTTTATGGGATCTCTGCACTCCTCTTTCTGGTTTCATCTACTTTCCCAACCCCCAGCTGGTTACAGCAGAGTGCCGCCCCTCCTTAGAGCTGTTTCTGATATAGGTCTCTTTCTTTTAAAGAGGAGTCCTTCCTCCCCACTGTCACCAAGTGCTATTGGTGAACTATTGGTCCCATATTCATATTCACTGTCTCACTGCAGTTTGATATCTCCTACCTTGTAGGTGCTGGTGGCACTAGAACAGCCTGGGAGGGGGCTGATCCTGGTGCTACCACAGCAGCTGTGCCCACTGTTACAGGGAAGGGGCTGGCAGGATGTACTGCTCCACCCTGAGGCAGCTGAGATTGAACAACGGGCATAGGAGCTATATGGATGATCTGGGGGGGGAAAAAAATAAAGATAGAAGAACCAACACAAATGTTTATTTGCAGCTTTGCTCAGATAAAGCTTTAATAAGAAAATGACTACAGTTTAAAAACACATCATCAGTGAAGCACCGCTGACCTTGCTTCCGGACTGAGCTCCATTCTGGACAGGAAGAGGTGGAGCCACAATCGGAAACTGCTGGGCAGGTGCTGGCGCAGTCCGCACTGTTGCCATGGGAACAAGCATTTTACCCTGGAGCGCCGGAGACTGTGCTTGCACTGATGAAAACGCGGATAAACAGGGGGAATGAGCATTTCATTAGAAGTCAACACAGACTATTAGCTCCAGTGCTGTGTCTCCTGTTAGAGCTTTCACCTCTAGTTCCTGGGCCGACTCCGACTGCTGAGCTGGACGTGTATCCCGTCAGTGGACTTGTACCCTGTTGCTTTCCATTGGCCAAGGACACATGTGTCGGTGGAGCTGTGGGCAGGTTGAAGACACTGGTTGGCTGGCTGAGCTGCTGAGGTGGACTCTTTGGGTTGGTGTTGGCAGGTAGGGTAGGCAGAATGTACTGGACTTGAGTGATGGCCTTACTCCCAGGGGGTGCCAGGGAGGAAGCAGGAAGGAACTGGGGCTGAAGCAGGGGCAGAGGCAGGGGCCCGTTGGTTTGGCTATGCTGAGCTGAAACAGCAGTGGGTGGAAGAGCCTGCGGCTGAGATGGCTGGGGTTGTGGGGAGGGGGTTACAAGCTGTATAGAGGGTTGGGGAGGCAAAGCCCCTCCTAACACTAAATTAGTCACTACACCACCTGGACCCATAGCTGGACTGGGTGATGACGAAGAATAGTACCCACCCCCTGTGGCTGTGGCCCCGCCTCCTGAAGCTGAACCAATCAAGAGTTGTGGCTGCTGCTGGGGAGTCAGAGACTTCCTTTCGGAAGGGTGAGGGTTGGATGAAGTGGCTCCATCTCTAGGTTTGCTAGCGATAGGGAGCGGTGTGCTGATAACAGGACGCATTACATTGGTCACCACTGTAGAGGCCACCCTAAGGAGTGGGTTCGCCCCCAGCGAACTTACTGATGAGGGAAGAGGCCCTCCGGCTGGAGAAGTGGACATGACTGACTGACCAGAAGAAAGGGAGAGAGAAGTGGCTTGCCCACTTCCACCTTCCTCCCCTCCAAATGCATCCTTATTCTCTCCCTCTGCTCTTTCCTTCCTCCTGTGGTCCATAAATGCTCCCCCTCCTGATCTCCCCTCATCATAGCGCTTGGTGGTGGGGTAGGAGGACAGTGAGACGCTCCTACCATGAGGAGTATGGTGTGAGGAAGAGGAGGAAGCAGAAGAGCAAATGACTGGAGCAAAAACTCTCTGAAAAGGACAAATATACAGATGTTACACAGGATAATCACCTTTAAAATGTTTCAAGAAATCTGTGTGTGTTAAACTGATAGCTATCAATGCCATTACCTTTCGATCGCTTTCATCACCCGAACCGTTCTCACTATCGCTGTCAGTCACACGTTCCTTACACTTGAGGTCTATGGAGCTGCTGGGATAAGGGTCCTCTGTGGAAAGAAGCACACACTCCTGCTACACTTGATATTCCTTAAAATTTAACATCCACTCAAAAGATCAGGGAAAACTTGTGATGCATTCATGTAATGCTGGGAGAAAGCAGAGAACACCTTTTATCCAAGGTTGTCAGCTTGCATTGCAATCTTGTAGTCAGACCAGTTAGACAACTTTAATTAGCCATTTTTGCTGTTACAGAGTTAAGCTCTTTCAAAAGAGGTTGAACTCGCTGTATTATTTTTTATTTTATTTCTAATGCAAATCCCAGATGATGTGCATTTGCAGCCATTTAGCAAGGATATTGTTAATGTCAGTGATACCTGAAACTTCAGACTTGTAATTACAAGCGAGAAGCTGACGTGAACAGTTTTTCACACTCAGCTGCTCATAATTACCGTTTAAATAACCAGATAATTGGGGCATGTCTGAAACTGCTCTCACTTCTTAAAATCTGAAATGTCAAAGTGGCCAATAACAAGAGAGAATAAACAACATGTGACTGTTTCACAAGGAACTAACTGCTGACATTACCTCTTAGTACTGAGTGGGTGTTTTGTTTTTTTTAAACATACAGAAGATGACAATACGCAGTGTGGTTCAGTGCTGCTGGAAGCAGTTTACTAACACATTAATTGCTCTAATCTAATATGGCTGCATGAGCACAGTAGTATTCATTTCTCACCAATGACATCATCATCTCCCTCCTCCTCACAGATGACCATGCGCTCCTCATCACTGGTCATGTCCTCGCTGACCCCACGCTGAGACTGTGCCAAAGGAGGGGCATGGCTCGAGAACTGATTGCCACCATCCCCACACATCTGAGAAAAAAGACATATTAGGATGACCTTCTTGTTGTAACCTTATTTGGGTTTGATGTAACAATGTGTTAAATGTGTTCAAGATGCCAGTCTGGGACTGAAAATGCACCATCCTACTGCCAAAACAGTTTTTTCATGTTTGTGGAAAGCAAAAGTAGAAAACATCTTCTATTGCTGGGAACACAAAATGAATTCACAAAACACATCTTTAAATTTCTGACTGCACTGGTAGCAGTAATGGCTGCCTTTCATTTATTCTTTAAAAAGAAAATACTAAGCTTCAACATTCAATATTCATCGTTCTCAGTTGATGAGCTGTTCTCCTCTCTCACCTGTGCCAGTTCTGCAAGGGCTTGCGTATTACCCCTGTCACTCCGCTCCAGGCTGTGCACAGCACTTTGGGAGAAGGCTCTGGGGCGAGTAAGCTGGCTCGCATGGCCCTCTCCTGTAGTCCTCTCGGACACGCCCACCAGTCCTGGACTGACACCCTTCAGCTCAACAGAATGGGGCTCTATCCCAAGGCAAAAATATCACTGATAAGGACTTGAAGAATAACGGGCATATGAGAATCTCTGTAAATGTATGCTGCATATATTGACCAACCTGTGGATTCAGACATGCTCCTCTCTCTGATGTCTTTGCTCCCTGGTACCCCACGACCTTCAGAGCTGGACTTCTTTCTGTCTTTATTGCACCACTTCCAGTCTGGGTGGGCCTTGAAGTGGGCCTCTTTGACCTGAGACCAAGAGAAGGGACAGGTATGCATCTAAACTGATATACGACTGAACCATTTTTCTAAAATTATGTACATCTTTCTGTATGCATCTGGATACCTGGAAAGCCAAATCATGGTACTTCTGTTTCTCTTTAGGTCCTAGAGCGTACCACCATTCCCCAAGAATCTTGCTGACTGTCCTGTTGTCCTGGTTCGGGTGACGCTGGTGAACCAATGCTCGATGGCGCTTGCTGAAAATCATAAATGCATTCATTGGTCGCCTGATGTGGTCCTTCTCCCTCTGAAAGAGTGAGCAAGAAAAACAGTCAGATATTACGTGACATGTCTTAATTAAGGACACACTGAGAATTGTGTTTTTGTGGATGCAGTGAATAAAAAAAAAAAGACAAACACCACCTTTCCAGGGCTGCTCTTGTCTCCATCTTTGGGCAGTGCACTGAGCGACTGAGTACGTCTCTTTCCTGGTGATGTAGAGAGAGGCTGCTCTTGTACGACTCCTGGAAGGAAGCTAAAGGAGACAGAAAAACATCTCTGGGTCTATAATCTTTAATTTTCCATACCCGCATGGAGGCTGGCCCATTAGCACTTCTTCTCTTTCCATCTCTAATATTTAAAAACCCGGTAATTTTCTACTTAACATCAGGTATTATTTACCTTAAGGCTGCGAGTCTATGAGATGTAGACACTGAGCACAAGTAGTTCATCTCCCATGAGATACAGCAGCAGATTCAGCAGATAGCTAATCCATTTCAATGTCTGACAGCCTGGCCACTGCCTTTCATATAGTGATAGAAACCAGAGATGGAATGCTTTTGTTCCCATCTGCTTTGTTCTGGCATTGAGCTCTTCTGCCCAAATTAGCGCAAGGATACAGAAAATATCACACTCCCTTACTGTATGTGTGGGTACACAGCACCACACAGAAAATTACTGTGAAAGCTGGCTTGGACAAATACATAACCACTTTAACAGATAAAACATGAGGGTTTGTGCTACCTCTATTTCTCTGTGTTCTTTTAGCCTGACAGATTTACCCACAAAATCCCAATACAGTGAAAAGAAAGAAAGAAAGAAAGAAAGAAAGAAAGAAAGAAAGAAAGAAAGAAAGAAAGAAAGAAAGAAAGAAAGAAAGAAAGAAAGTAAGTCTTACGGGTCATCCACATCACTCTCAGTTTCACTGTCAGGCCTCTCCCTCTCTGTATCTCCTTTCTCTTTCTCTGGAGGCGGCTCATCTGAAGCAGGGGGAGGCCTTGATGGGGGACCTCTCTCTACAGTGGGAGGTGCCTCTGCAGGCTCCTGTGGCAGCGCTGCCACCCCCTGACACTCTGAGGAAAAACAACAAATTATTCAGGGCAAAGAAAGCAGTAAATGCTGCTGAAGTTTCAAAGGAAAATAACCCGAAACTGGTGACAACACCTTTCTCTCCCCCCCCCTCCCCCTCCTTACAGCTTCTAGGTCAGTCTTAATATAAACATTACCCGTCTTCAGACTGGCTGCTTGAGGGTGGTTGACTGGGTGCTGGCCCTCTCCTGGCTGACAAGTAGCATCTGATTGGGTAGGTGCCAGAAAGGGGACCAATGAATGCCAAGGGAAGACTGGAACTGACCGGGGCTCTACATTGGTCCACACTGCAGAAGATAAAAGGAATTCAGATTAATTTACCTGATAAAATTCACAATATGAGGCCTTGCCTTGAATTCAGATTCAAAACAATCTGTCATTCGTACTAACAAATCAAGAAACAGCTTACTTATTTAGAGGAGTCACTGTAACACTTACACAACAGTCGCATTCCTACTCAATGACCAATTAGTTTACAATGTGATCAAGCACAAATGTTATATTATTTTGGATGGAAAAACAACAAAAAATACTAAAAATCAGACAGACAACAACAGAGTACTTCTTGCAGTAGTACTTTGGCCACAGTAGCATCTTGCATTTTAGCCATCTAACCACAGGCTGGATAACATCTGGGATAGTAGGTAAAGGTCGGTGGTTACATGGCAGAATAAGAAAGAACCAGTGCTTCGAAAGCTACCAGTAATATCAGTACTGCCACAGTAACAGATCAGACCTCCATCCACTAAACTGGTTAAATCATTCCAAAAACTGCAGATGTACAAAAGGACTCTCTGTTCCCAATAACAGGCTGAATGGAGAACAGAAGCCATTACCAAATGTCATAAATAAAACAAAGAAAGACAGAAAGAAAGAAAGAAAGAAAGAAAGAAAGAATCTCTAGATAAAAATGCTTCATACATTAACAAAAACACTCAGAAAGGCATTACACTGTGTACCTGCATTACACTTCAGGTAAACAATAAGATATGGACTAACCAAACATGCTTAATCCTTGGCGAAGATACTGAGGATTCTCTGATGAGAACATTGTTGAAAGAAATCCTTGATGTTTTCAAAAGAAAAAATCTTTTTTTAAAAACGTAATGATAATGAGTCCTTTTAAAATCTTTCTTCTATAACATGTAGATATCCAGGTAAGAGAACATGTTTACTCCAAAAATCTGGGAAGCTCATAGTGTGTCTGGATCCCTTTCATCCCTACAGGTTGCAGCCATCATTCAGAAGAATAACTGCATCACTTCCCGACATGATGAGGTCTTCAAGAGGTATCCTTATTTATTTATTTTTAACCTAACTAAAATACGAGATAAGAGTCCATATATCCGTATCGCAGTATGCCGCAATCTAATAAAGGAAACACGGAACAAACATCAGTGGACAGGGTGTACTGTAAACGATTCGTAAGAAAAAACTAAATAATGTTACATTTGTGCGAATGTAGCGGTGTACAGACGAGCCACTGAAAAAAGACGATTATGATCGAAGGCAGGGTTCCGCCTCCCTTTGGTCTAATTACCCCCGATGCCCTCTCTCCCTGTTTGTTTACATTACTACAGCAGCCCGGGCATGAAGGGGTTAACAAGGCCTCGAGCCCATCCACGGCCTGGATTGATACAGCCACCCGGAAACTACGCAGTCCTTCTGGGCCATGTCAAAACGTGCTCTGCGCTACTACACGGTTTTGAGCAGGTGGGGCTCGGCAGGTACTGAGAAGCACATGAAGTCCCGGACTCGCACAGCTACAGAGCGCCGTATCGATCAGGGTAAAACAGCGCTCCAACAAGCAAAGTGGGCTGATCACAGCTCAAGTGATTCTTCTATTTCCAACTACTGTGAATCTGCTTAATGTCCAAGTGTTCGCCGTTTCCCTCAACACCGACTTTCAACACTTGCTGATTCGGGCATTTTAAAAGAAAAAAAAAAAGGGGGGGGGGGCGACACAGAGAGGGGAATAGAGGCGCAGGAAAGGGGAGATGTGTTGGGGAGTGAGGAGCAGCTGCCAAAAAAAGTCAGTGGGGGGGGGGGTGTAAAGAAATCACGGCAAATTTAGCTGCCTCTTGCAATAACCGGAGCCTCAAGTGCACCGCTCCAAATTGGACCAACCTCTCGGGAACGCCCCTGGTCGTGCACCCGCCGCACAGACACGGGCAAAAGAAACGCAATTATTTTCATGTCGCAACTATAAAATCCTATTTTCAAATGTACTGACATCAAATATAACACTGTCTGTTAAGTGCATTACTCCGAAACTTGTTTCTCTGATATATGCCCCCCACCCCCCTCGGGATTACGATATCCACCTGTTTTAACCAGGCAATTCAGTTAACACCTATAAAAGAAACACCGAACTAGTTGTATTTGTTCCCACTCATAAGAAGAAATCGTTACCGTAAATCTGGTGCATTCATCCATCACCCTGCGCTCACAATCCCGCTATCCATCAGTTTGATTACCGAGAAAACCACCTGTACTGTCTCCGATTTAGCAGTTCCTATCCTGCCTGACGAATCTGGCCACAAACCTGACGTTAGCTAGCAACTGATGAGACTACAACACAGCGATGAAAGCAACCACGGTGAGGACTCCTGGCTCAAGTCAGCGAGGAGAAAAGGAAGGAGGGGAGGGGGGTGAGATGAATCGCAGTTGCTGTTGTATTTTTCTTACTCCTCCTCGATCAAGCTTTCGAGGCAGCAAAAGAGTGACCGGTTGTAGATGCCCCCCCCCAGTACAGGACCAGAACACGGCGGGGGGTGGTGGAAGGAGGTGGGGGCTTTAAACCCCGCGACGCTGGGTGATAGCCGTTTGAGAGGTCGGTCTGTCTGCAGCAGGTTAGCTAGCCACTTCGTGCGGACGACATCGGCGCGCACACCGTCCAGTCCGCTGACTACTTGCTGTTACTCGTGTTGTTTTGGCCCAGAAAAGTCCTTGTATCACATCTCCACACCTCCCAGCCCGAGTTTACTCCCTTATTTTTGCCTCATTCGCTCTCTCTCGCGCGTAAGCCTTGGCCCTTTCTTTCTCTTTCCCTCCTCTTCCTCTTGTTGTAAACTAGGCTGCTTGCCCCCCCCCACACACCTCCTGTACTCGTACCCCTCCCCTTCTCGTCCTGTCAACCTCGCCCAGCCTTGTCCCGCCCCCCCTGGGCGAATACTATTCGGCTATTCGCCCTGGCGTCGAACCGTCATCTACCCGCCGCGCACGCTGATTGGCGGAAGGGTGCGCTGGAATGCCAGTCATATGCAAATTACACCCGGCGTTACAACTATAACCTCTTCTCCCTCTAATCTCGAAGCTTCTTTAAAATACTCAATAATAGTTAATAAATATTTTCACTGTATCGATATGGGAACACGAGCTGGAGTCCGTGTAAGGCCTCAAAAGTGAGTATTTTTGTGCTTCTTTCTTTCATTGGTGGAGGAGTCGTAGTAAACCTTGAGTGGTGGGTGAAAGCGCGTATCAAACGCCGACACTCAGATGTAGGCCAACCGATAGCTTAACAGAATTTAGAGAAGCTCCGCCCCCTTACTAATGCTCGGCTCCAGTTTTAATACACAAAAAGACCACACATGCAGGGAGGCGCTAGTGTGCTATCTGCGCTTTACCTGTCACGCTGCTTCGGTCTCTCTAGGGAATCTGCACAGGGGGTGGACTCTGATGAGGACTTTGGGGTCAAGATTGCAATGCATACCCTCACCCAATAAACCTAGATAAGCATGCAGGGTCATTACAAGTTAGAAATATAAATCATTCGAAAAAGGAATTTGAAATACATATAACCATTTTCTGGTGATGCTACACGTTTGCTTTCAGAAACACAGCCAAGAGCCACGAGGCAAGTGGTGCAATTTTCCCCAATAAAAAGCTCTCCAAATATTTTCCATCTCTTCATCATGCAAATGTGCCTCCTCCAAGACAGAATTAAAAATGTTCTGATGCAACACTCACAGGGACAAGGAGGAAAAGTGAAAGAAAAGAAGAAGAGAATTGAAAACAGGAGAGGAAAAATGGGTGGAACAGACTAACATTGGAGAGGACCAGAGGGTAAAAATAGACTGAGAGTCATTTTCAGCAGGAGAGCCAGAGAGAGAGAGAGAGAGAGGGGGGGGGGGGGGGGGGGGGGGAGGTATGGGGGGTGGAGAGAAAACAACTTGTGAAAACAGAACTTCTTTCAAAAGGAGGAAGGGTGTGAGAGGCCTGAGATGGGGCAGACAAAGGGGAAGCATTTAAATAGATTTTATAGACATTATACTGATGAGACAGATAGAAAGAGGATGGGTATTTGTGATGTGGGTTCTCACTGAGGCAAGAACTGCTTCTCAGCCTTTTTAATGGTTCCATAAGACAAATACAATACTGGGAGGGACTGAATTTATCACCAGCAGCCAGTCAGCACATCGGGAGCTTGAGACCTGACCAATAAGGCTGAGAGACACACTGGCAGCAGCTGCCCTTAGTAGTAAAAAAGTTAACCCTCTAAGTCCTGGGTTACACTTCTATAAGAGTATTTGGAAATGTTTGCAACTCAAGGGTATTGAGGACATTTCCTTACTTTTAGTCTTTCGTCACATCTGAAAAGCACAACTTGTTTGACGAGTATTTTATGGACACATTTATTTAGAATCAGAGTGTCTACATCAGCGGTCCCCAACCTTTTTTGCGCCATGGACCGGTTTATGCCCGACAATATTTTCACGGACCGGCCTTTAAGGTGTCGCGGATGAATACAACAAAATAAAACTAGTACTGGTACCGAAAAAGAAGATTTATTCATAACACACGTGAAAAGACCCAGGAAAACCGAGTTAACGATAAAAACAATAACAAAATAACGCTGAAAACCGATAAAAACCCTGAAAACCATACATTTCACACCTGAGCCTCTACCCTCGCGGCCCAGTACCAAACGACTCATGGACCGGTACCGGTCCGAGGCCCGGGGACCGCTGGTCTACATGACCAAATCAACTATTTCTGTAAAGTCTTGGGCTTGTATTATAATACCTATCCCTGGGGCACACGTCCAATATAATAATCTTTAAAAACACTAGAAATTACATAGAAAAACTAACAAAAACTGAACTAAAACTAAGCAGTAAAAACTAAACTGAAACAAGCAAAACCACTTTGGAAACTAACTGAAACTGACCTGAATTCAAAACATTCAGAATGAAACATAAATAAAACGTAATTGGAAAATACAAAACTTTAATCACTGACACAGACTAAGAGACTAAAGCTTATCAACTGCACTGCACTCTCAACA